TCGGGGGGGGGGGGGGGGGGCGGACACTGTTAAAAGTATATATTTTCTATATAAATTATATAAATTTCATTTCGTTCCCCCCCCCCCCCCCCGAAGAGATGCCTGGAAGAAACTCTGGTTAGAGCAAGGATACCAAGAACAATAAATTCGTTTTTATTGAGTCTACACGTTGTTGCTGACTGGGCTCAGAATTTTTCTGAGATAAGTAATTTGTATCACGTGGTGATCATATGAATCCACGATGGACTTAATGTTGAAATGCATCGGGGACATAGATCTTCAATACCAGTGGTTCTTAACCTTTATGCAGGTATCGATCGAACCCCATCAGTTTCATATGCGAATGTACCAGAGGCGTAGCGACCATTCCCGGCGCCCGGGGACAAACTTTAAATTTAGCCCCCCCCCCATATATTTTTTAGATTTATAATGCAAAACTGCAGCTAAAATGAGCTTTTAATTTTTTTCCAACCCATTTTGGCGCCCCCTATGGTCGGCGCCCGGGGACATATGTACCCTCCGCTCCCCCCCCCCCCCCTACGCCTCTGGCATGCACCGAACCCTTCTTTAATAGTCCGCACTGACAATTAAAGATCGCAAATCATATGAATCGGGTGTGTGTCCAGCGTTTTTTTTTTCAGGTATCTCTCCGGGGGAGGGGGTGGTGCCGCCCATCCCCCAAAAGAAAAAGTCTGAAAAAAACACTGTGTGTCTTGCCCTCCGCTAAACCCCCGAGACTCTCACCGAACCCTCTGTGGTTCGATCGAACCCAGGTTAAGAACCACTGTTCTAGACAGAGTTCATCTAGACAAAGATATTGGGGTCGTCCATAAATGACGTCACATCCGTAAGGGGGGGGGGTCCGTAAATTTGTGACGGTGTGTGATGAGGGGGAGGGGGGGTTCAGATGATGTGACTTTACGCTTTTGTATTATAAAAAAGCAATGTTAGAAAACGAGTTTTAGCCGTTATTTCGCGTTTTAGAAAACGGTTTTAATAAATTGTAATAGGAATTGATCAAAATATCCTATGTTGACAAGATTTGGAAAAAAATCCATGTTTTAAGAAAAATGCAACAGCAATTTTGAGGGGGTTGTAGGCTGAAGTGTGACGTCATTTAGGGGGGGGGGGGTCTGGCTTTTTGTGACGACGTGTGACGCTGATGCGCGGACCCCTTCAGGCGCGGGCGCTTTGGCGGCCGCCCCGTTTGCCACCCCCTAACGCCGGCTCTGGTGGGCAAATTGAACTATCCCACATACGCCACTGCATTTTGGATAGTTACTGGCTTAATGCCACTTCACAAGAAAGATGGGTTACCTCTGGGAACCGTTGGGGAAACTAGCACAAGAAAGATGGGATACCTCTGGGAACCGTTGGTGAAACTAGCACAAGAAAGGTGGGTTACCTCTGGGAACCGTTGGTGAAACTAGCACAAGAAAGGTGGGTTACCTCTGGGAACCGTTGGTGAAACTACCACAAGAAAGATGGGTTACCTCTGGGAACCGTTGGTGAAACTAGCACAAGAAAGGTGGGTTACCACTGGGAACCGTTGGTGAAACTAGCACAAGAAAGATGAGTTACCTCTGATACTGCAGGTGACTATTGGAGATACGTGAACAAAAAAGATGGGTTACCACGATAGACAGTTGGAGAAACTAACTCAAGGCCGTATGTATGTGATATATAGTAATGTAGGAGTGTTTCCTAGATATGTTAAATAATGTGACGATAGGGGGGGGGGGTAGCTAAACGTTACTAATTTTTGTGTTGGGCCATGCTTAAAAAAGTCTTTATGAAAGATATTCTCGCATACACTCAGACCTACATAAAAATAGTGATTTGTTTTTTGTCAAGGTAATAAAATAATATATTTTAAGAAGGAAAAAATATAGACCAACACATTAATATAGAATCGTGTTCAAATAGACTAAAGAGAAAAGGGTTCCTATTCTATATTCTTGATACAGACGCACTAACACTAAATTTGACAAAATCTACTTTATAATCTGCTTCTTTAAAAATATTATTATATGCCTATATTGAATGTGATCTGATAAATAATTATTAAAGTAGGTATTCTAAATGAAATTTTCATAATGAAATTAAATAAAATTTAACACTTCCACCTGATAGGGATTGCTTTCATCAGAACAGAAACACCAAATTTATTGATGTATGTCCATTTTTAAAAAAGTTATGAATTTTTTAAAACTCGAAAAATGTGTTCGCTTATCGAGCAGTAAAGGGTCTATTTGAGACCCCTACTAACTTCTAAAATAACTAAGTTAGAACTCACAAATTTCTTGCACACACAGCCAGTAATACAAATAGCAAACCCAATTTTTTTCAAGGTTGTCAGACAGATATAAATGGAAAATTTATTCACTTAAAAATGAGCCAAAGCACAATTTTACAAAAGTACGAAAAGGGAGACAAAAAGTCAATTTACAGTCATTTTTAAAAAATCATATAAAATAAACTAATTAAGCCACATTGATAATATTAATGTTCTAAGAAAGGAAATTCAAAGCATGTTAATATGAAATAAGCAGGTAAAGAATTAATAAAGAAAGTAATTAGCGAGACCAGATTCTGCAAGGTCAGTTTATAAAAAATAGAAATTTCACCCTTTTTCAAAAAATGATTAAAAAATATCAAAGTAAGGTATCTTAATAAATTTTACACCATCTTAAAGCACATGATGTTCTTAATATATAATAAACACAGAAACATAAAATAATCATTCTGCAAAACAATATAAAGCATCCTTCCTTAATGCCTAAAATCAAGAATTTTCATTACCTAACATCTTGCAAAAAGTGTCCTTACTTTTAAGAAAGTAATATAAATTGTGTAGGAAACATGTTAGCATTACTTTGTTATAAAAAATTAAATACCTATACTATTACTTTACTTATATACTTACTAAGAAGAAATTTCATGCCTTTTAAACACTGATGAAGTAAGATAACTAATTAAACTAAAATTCTTTATAAATGATCCTAACTGTTAGCTTTGTGATGTTCATCTAGTTTTGTTACTCTGCTCCCTAATCATGACATGCTTAGCCTAAATTTACTTGTTATCAGTAAATTTATTTCTTCTAGTTAGTTATTAATCAATGTCAACTTCTGGAAATGTCTAGGTCCTAACTTATACAATTATCAGAAATCTTAGAGCAGGTTCAAAAAGACAGGTCAATATCCTGATTGGGAAAGTTCTCTATGAGGTTGGGTAGCATTGTAATTAATAGTCAATATCTTGGTTGAGTTAGTCTTCTTCTTCAAGGTTTGGAGTAGCATTGTAATAAATTATTGTGAACTGGCAGCACACATCAAATTATGGAAACTAGTAAGGGATCTTTCCATTGGTCCAGAGTATAGAAAATGTCTGTGAATAAAAACAATTAATTAGCATTTCCAATATACTGACTTATATAGTAGGTCTGTATATCTTTATACCTACTTAGATATCAATCATGTAACATTACATCATTATAACTAATAAGCAAAGTGAAGAAAATACTAACATCTGACATATGGTTTCCTTCAAAAGTATTCAGTAGTCCTGTTGGTGCTTACACATTTTTGCCAGGCCTTTCAGTTTCCCCTTTCTTTTGCTAATATCTTGCTCTGTAAATAGAATAATATTAAAAGTAAGGCTGCTCAATGCTTTTTTAGATATTAAATGTAAACACTTTAGATAGTTCTACTACTAAATAAATATTAACATGAAAGCAATAGTGAATCTAACTAATCTAAGTAGATCTAGAAACAATTTTGGGTTAAACTATTATATGGAAGGGGGGTACATTTTATTTTAATGTCGTCAGTTCAATAAACCTAGAGATAAGAAACATTAACGATCGTAGTATTCTAAAATTTAATGTAATTACTGCAATTATATAGAATAGTTAACTATTAAACTAGGAAAAACAAAATAAACAATGCTACAATAAATTGAAAGTATGCTGTTAACCCTGCGTAATATAATAGTTGAATCCAACATTACGAGAAGGCAAAAAAAAAAAAATGGCCGACAAGCGGCTTAAAATATCGACAATATGTTGATAGTTTAATCGGTCGATGTTAGTAATTAATAAAATTCACGAATACAAATTAAATTCTATCACTCTTTTAAACATCTTTTTGATTTAATTGTGCATTCCTTTTTTATTTTGGTAATCGTAAATTAAATACAAAGAACTTTTAAAAAGGTCTAGATAATTTTTTGGTAAATGTTTTTTTAAGCGTGTAGCAATTACCGATAAGTGGACACTAAAATGCAAATAGTTTAAAGCAGCAGTTTATTATAAATAAAATGAATATAGCTAATAATTTATAAAGCACTTAACTTACCTAGACCTTGTTTAAAATCCATGGTAATCCGCGAATAAACACAAAATCCTGCTTTGAACTTGAGCCGGGTGTTCCGTGACATTACGCAAAACTAGATTTAAGCCGGCAAAAGTTAGCGCGGGTCTTCACGATACGTATGCGTTCGTTTTTATTTCTGCGATCCGATACCATACATTAAGTGTTAATTAAATTATAACATTTTTATAGTAAATTGGACGCCCGATCTGAATATATAATTTTGCCGGCTGTAAAATACTTTTTTCGTGTTAAAAAATCATTTGAAACTTTTAAATCTATTATTTTTAGCATTAAATTATATTTTACAGCGGGCAAAGTCATATCATCTTAAAGGGCGTCCATTCTACTTTCTATATTAGTTTTTAGTGTAATCGTATGTATTATGGTATCGGATCTCCGAGCGTTGGCGCAACCCGACCAAATTTTTTTGCGCGCAGTACGTTTTTTTCGGCTCATTTAGAATACCTAATTAAAGTTAAAATATTAGTTGGTGTATTTAAAAATGCCATTAACCTACACACAAAAAGTAACACCTTTAAATAGTTTGATTTGTATAAAATATGAAATATCAACAGGCACTACAAATATGATTTCTTGTTTTTAACTTTCGAACTTCCGAAAACAATCCAAGCGCTAGATTTGGTGTGCCGTAACAATACCTTTTTATTTTACCTGTATCTTTTTGAAGTAAGTTACACATGAAGCTAATAATCATTTCGTAATAATTCATATTAAAGTAGTCTAACAAGATCTATTATTGAGTAGCTAGATCTAGTTAAACTCTGAATTATCTTGATTATTTTTAAATCTATCCAACAATGTCGGATTTCGACAATGAGTCTTGTCCCCTGCCTCAGCTGTCTTAGTGTCTACACTACAGACTCGTCAGTCAGTACACTACACAAGTGGTTTGTTCCCTTAGCCTCAGTAGTCAGTCCAACTAGTGCTAGATCCAGTCTAGACTAAGTCAAGTCACTAATAATACTAATATACAGTGTAGATCTATTCTAGATCTAGGTCTCTATCAGGCTCAGCTGCTGAGATTGAGGCAGCTAAAAAATGAACAAAATACCTGTAGTACTGTAAGCCAGAGAAAGTGGTTTTCTGTGTGTCATAGTGAGTAGTAGTCTATTCTGAGAAATTTTCAATATTAAAAAAAAGGAAGGAATAGTTTCTTTTTACTTTCTCGTATATATATGAAGTATAGAGAAAGTCTTGTAATCGTGAAAAAAAAATCGAGATTTTTGCAAATCTCGACGTTTTAGGGCCTCCTTGAGTCGGAAAAACATTGTTTTGCAATCTTGTCCGTGTGTGTGTGTGTAAACATGATAACTTGAGTACCGTTACAGCTAGTTTGATGAAATTTCATATATACCTAAGTATTATTATTATAACAAAATCGTAGATTTAGTAGAACCGTATCAATTTTTGAGCAATCTCCGATAACCGGAAGTGGAACTTTTTCTACTTTAAATTTTTCAAAAGCCTATAACTTGAGTAATATTTCAGATAGATAAATGAAATTTCACATGTAAGTAAACGTTCTAATTCTCTGCCTTCTATCAAATTTTGAGTAATATCCGTCGACCGGAAGTAGTAATTTTTTACGCTATTTCCGATTTCTAAAAAAAAACTCATATGGATTTATAAAGTACTAATAATATCCCGCATATTTTATTTGGCGTTCACTTGGTGTGCAATTCTTTTTTTTGACGAGATTCTATTCTATTATAAAAAGTTTAAGTAATTAAAAATGGATTAAAAATATTGTCTATGTCCCGAGTTGCCATCCCCCGTAGTGTTATATTAGAATATTCGAGAAAGTTTAGGGGAGATCACTCCCGGTTTATTAGTATTTGTTATTGGAAAAATGATATAACTGTACATTAAATAGGCAAATAGGCCTAATTATAATAATATGAAGAAAAATGAAAAAACTTGGCTAAACCCAATTGGAAAAGAAATGCCAACGCGCAAATCATGAGGATGGTTTGGACTCACCTTTTAAAAATAACTAACATCACCAGACAGGCATTAGATTTGGAATCATCAAAGAATGAAGAAAGTAGGTGAGCCAAATCAAACTTGGAAAAGATTAGCTGTCAGTGAAGCAGATGCACCTGGAATGTCATGGACCCAAATTGGAAAAATGGGCCAAAATTGAGTAGAATGAATAGGTGTGATGGTGTCCCTATGCACTACAAAGGGGTCCTTAGGGATGATGGTTGTGGTGGTGGAGAAAAATCCAATTTTAACCCAAAAAAGGTTGAACAATTATTTGTCATGTGTTAAAAAGCAACTAAATAATCCAAAATTGTTGTACTACATTACTTAAAATAAAAAATGTAAGCAATTTTTTTATTTTTTATATTGCTATAAACTAAAAGCACACATCTGCTCATATCTATGTGTAACTATAATAACGCTTTTTTAAATAACTTTAGGACTAGTATTATTTTTGGTTTAGCAAAATAGCATCATGCTTCTGTTTGTTTTTATTTCTTCAAATTTCTCCTTTTTACTGTTTACATAATTGTTTGGCAGGGGTATGCATGCCTGCAATCATCACCGAGTGAAAAGGTTTAAAATTTTATTTACGGCACAGATGTGTCATGACTTAAAATAATTAAAAAATTTAATAAAGTTATGAAACCTGTTATTCAATCTGTGTTCAGCACTCCTGACAACATCATCAACAACAGTTTTACAGAAATTCTTACTTAACTAAATCTTTCTTTAAGTTCATCAGAAAAAAACCAATCAACTTCTATCTTTCATTTTAGGTATCTGTATTCACTGGATGACTACAACTTTGTTTTTCTTACATGGAGATAAATTCAATTCTGAAAGGTTGGACTATATTAAATTTTGTGAATAAGCTGTTAGGCCTAAATTTCATTGTTATTGTTATTTTTCATTTCTTATTTAGTAAGGTATGCATAGGACAAAAAAAATCACTATTTTCATTGTCACCTATTTTTATTTGTGCTCTAATTTCACAGATGTTGTGGCCTATGTCGAAGTCCGCAGTAATAATGACAACAGAAGCGCAGCTGTTAGTCAAAAGCTACTACAGCTTGGGGCAACAGTGCAGCCAACATTTAGCGATGATGTGACACATGTTGTTTTCAAGGAGGGTTTAAAGCGGACATGGATCAAGGCTCAGAAACGGAACATTCCTGTTGTTTCTGTTTCCTGGTTAAACAGGTTGGCTGACCAATTTTTGTGTCAATGGTTGTCTAAATGGCTATCCTGTAGATGCTATGTGTGTCTGTGCAAAATGTTGATCAATGTGTATTGATTTAATTTATTCATAAATTGATAAAATATGGGAATATGGTAAACCTATAAGCTTATTTTATAGCTGTAGCATTTAATGTTATCAGAAGATTTGAATGCGATAGAGTTACACGCTTATTTGTTAACTGGAGCATCTAATGATCTAATGTGTGAATGTGTTAGACTAATAAGCTCCATATACAATATGTGTCAAATGTACTTCAGCTGTCTGGAGAACAGGATGCGCATGTCTGAAAAGGAGTTCCCTGCCTTGTTACCAGAGATTAAAGACAGTCCACTTCCTTGTTTTAAGCCTGCTCCTAGATGGAAGGTAAATGCCTATTGTAAAGCATTACTATTCATATTGTACATTTTAACTTATTACAATGTAAGTGTTAGTCATTTGTTTTTTGCACTAATTTATGACAATATACATGTTTTATTTGCTGCACTAACTTATGACAATATACATGTTTTATTTTCTGTGACCAGAAAATGAAATCCATGCAGCCATGTGATTTTGATGAAGAACTAGCACGCAGTGCAGAGAGAGGAGAGAAACGTCGCAAGCGTGAATTGATGGCCAATAGGTTTAAATTAGCTGAAGATTCCACCCCAACCTTGTCCCTTAATCCTCCAATCCTAGCTTTGGAAACCCAGGCCAGGTCTCCACATGTAAGTCTCTATAGAGAAATGTTTGTTATTAAAGAAATTGTGTTGTAAGCGCAATGGTCATCTCTCTTTACTAATGTACCAACTGTAGCTGCATAGTCTAAAGTTTTTTTTGATTCATCTTCTCTGGAGAACCCTCAATATTTTTTGTTGAATGTATTTTTGATGCCATCTATTATTATACTGTTAATTTTTTTTCTATTTAAAGTTTTTTATTTCAAAGTGAAATATATATTGATGTTTTATATGTATTTTAATAATAAGTGTTACTTAAATTGTACAACTGATGCAATTTATAAACTGTGTGTCTGCATTACTATAGGTGTCGTCCCTCTTAAACATAACTTCACCAATACCTGATACACCTCCAAGCCTAAAAGACCGCTATGAAAAAATGGTGAGAGAGCAGAAGCTAGGTAAGAGCAAATAGTTATTACTTCATTGGTTAAAAGCATGCAATCAGTAATCCTGCTTTTATATAACTTTGGATTCTTGGTTATTGACATTTATATTTAGTAATAAAACAATTATTAATTATTTTTTTATTAAATGTTCGTCAGTACTCAGTTCAGATGATGTGGAGTCTCCACTTATTACTCCTAAAACATTCAAAGAAAAACCTTTACAAAGACGACTGTTTGGTAAGATAACACTATATAAGTTAGTTTTAAATATTTTATTCTATTTTACATAGCTTAAGTTAACGATTTTAATTGATTACCATATTGAGAATTTAAAATTAATCTTAAATGATTTTCTACCCTACTTGTTATCTAATTTTTACAGAGAAATTTGCTAGTATGAGCAGTAGTTCAATGGAAAGTAGCGATGATGACATGTCCGGGATTGTTTCTGGGCTTCTCAAAAGACTGGATTCTAGAAATAACAGCCCATCTTGTGTGGACCAAAATATCTCATCTCCCAAATTAACCCCCAATTTAACACACGGAGCTAGGGCTAACATTTCATCTACCAATACAAACTCTAATTTAATACAAGGGACTAAGCCTCATCATTCATCTCCCAAATTAAACCCTAATTTAATTCAGGGGGTTTCTGCAGAGGATGATGACACTGCTGACAGTATCTGGCAGTGTAAATTTTGTACCAGCCCTGAAGGTTTTGTTTTGTCGCCTTCTCGTAAAGGGGAGGAGCAACGTTCCCACAGTCCAGTAGCTGGTTGTAAAGCTGACGAGAGATGGGGCACTGAAAGCCCTAGACCTGTGCTGTCACCCCAGGGCTTCAACATTGAAACCCCTGAGATCAACAAATCTTTGAAAGGTTTGAATCTTTCTCTCAAGAAGAAAAACAGCCTGTCTGTGGCTAAGCATCATGATGGTGCATCAACTAACCACAATGAAAATGATGAAAATTTAAAAGAGTCTGTTAGGGATGAAACAGTTCCTAAAGATGCAAGTGTATCAAAAATTAAACCACAAGAAATAGTTCGAGAAAGGAGACAGTCGAGGCGTGTGTCTGTTGTTAGGAAGCTGGACAACTCTGATTCAAAAGCTACGTCCAGTCTCCCACTAAAGTCAAATGAAATCAACTGTCCCACCGCCTCACCACCCCCACAACCAGATTTTAAACCTAAGGTAACAAAGAAAAGAAACTTGCTGTCAGCTAAACAGCTTGCTGATGCTCTTTTAGCTCCAAAAGAAACTGATAATGATAAAGCTCAAAAAACAACAGAAATCGATGCTAGTAAAAATACAAGTGGTAAACCTCAAGGCAATGTTAAAAAACACAGAAAAAGTGCCAAAGCTGATGCAGATTTTCTGTTTGGGTTAACTGAGACTAAAAGTGCAGCAACCAAAGTTCAGGAAAGACGGAGAAGTCAGAGGTTAAGCTCAGTGCAGCCTGCCACACCTACCAAACACTGTGATGGTCCTACTGAACTCCCAGCTACTACTGCAGCAGAGAAAGCTAACTCTAAAACCAGGAAGTTGTCCCATCCCCATACCACTAGTGTGTCATGTGATCAGTCTGCCACACCTACCAAACACTCTGATCCTGCAGAAACCAGTACCTCTACCACAGCAGAGAAAAACAACGCTAAAACCCGCAAGTTTTCCCGTCCACATACCACAAGTGTATCATGTGATCAGTCTGCTACATTAAACGATTTATCAAAAAATGATACATTAGGCACGTCCATGTCGGTCATGTACGATAATGAAACTTCAGTGCGAGGTAAAAGAAAATCAGTTTCTTCAAGGCGAAGCATTGATGACTTTTCTCTGAGTAAAACTGATAAGTTTAAACACCAGCACAAGCCTGTGTTAAAGGGAATAACAGAACAAGATTTAGTGACAGAAAATACTTCCACTACTTCCAAGACAAAACCAACACACAGTAAAGCTTACCTAAAAAGAAACAGATCTACAAGTTCATCTGATGCATGCCGTGAGTCAAAGCCTTCTTTCAAGAAGTCAAAAGGTAAACAGTCCACCTCCAGCGAAGATGGCAACAACAGTCAGTTGTCTGATAGCCACATGTCTGATGAGGCTCCGGCTAGTCTGCGACATGCACGCTCACTGGTGATGGAGCAGTCCATGATAACTGGCCTCAAGAGTCAATACTCACTTGTGTTGACCAGTCTTCATAGAGGGTAATATTACCTGTCTTGTCTAGTTGGTTGTGTCATTGGTTTGTGTTTTCTTCATAGAGGGTAATATTGCCTGACTTGTCTAGTTGGTTGTTTCATTGTGTTGTCTTCATAGAGGGTAATATTGCCTGACTTGTCTAGTTGGTTGTTTCATTGTGTTGTCTTCATAGAGGGTAATATTGCCTGACTTGTCTAGTTGGTTGTTTCATTGTGTTGTCTTCATAGAGGGTAATATTGCCTGTCTTGTCTAGTTGGTTGTGTCATTGGTTTGTGTTGTCTTCATTGAGGGTAATACTTTCTCACTTATCTAGTTTGTTCTTTCGCTTTCATTATTTGGTATGTTTTATTTTATTTTTGTAATTAGTTTTGAATAAAGATTTTAGAACAAAATCCATTTAATAATTTTTAAAAAGCCAATAGAGCAATGAAAGCCTGTGATGTAAATATAAGTTAAAGGCGGGACAAAACAGAAATTAAGTTCAATACATGTAATCTTTTTTATACATTAATACTAACAATAAGAATATATTTATGTCCTTTTTAGGGAACAAGAATTGGTATATTCCGTAGTGAAAAAGTTGGGTGCCTTTCAAATGACAAACAATGTTGATGCTACAACCACCCATGTTGTGTGTGGGGATGCTAGGAGGACTTTGAATGTCATACACTGTGTGGCCAGAGGCTGCTGGCTACTGAGGAAAGAATGGGTTGGTGCTGGTTCTTGCTTACATTTTAGTTAAAAGCACAATTTTTTTGGCACTGATTTTTTTTATAATTAGCAAAAAGAACTAAATCTAGTAATACTAGTACTCTTAATACTTCAAATGTAAATTAAGTCTTTTATTTTTCACCTAACAGTTTTAGTGTTTTGAGTGGGTGAAGTAATGTTTTATATATAATTTTTATAGTTTTTTATATAATTTAGTCCCATTTACTTATTTTGTTTAAGGTTCTTGAATCTCTAGAGGCTAGAGAGTGGCTGCTAGAAGAAAATTATGAAATGGAACAAGAGTTTCCTGCAGCTAAGGTTGTTGTTTTTTTTCATGTTTTTTTTTAATATACATTTTTAATATGCTTATCAAATCCTTAAGGAAAATAAAACTTTTGTTAAGATTCAGCTATGAATGTATTGGTCTGCGACTGGTTAAAATAATGTTGGTTAAAAGTGAATGTTTTTTTTTAGATATCTCGGTGTGAACGTCAAGCAATAGGTGCAGGCTACAAGCTGGGGATATTTACGAAAACAGGGCCTGTGTATGTTTCAAAGGACTCAACACCAGCCAGACAGGAACTGGTCCAGCTAATTAGACTTTGTGGTGGTCAGGTGAGTACATTGTAGCAAGATCCTTTTGTCATTGCTTATCTACATCATTTTGTCAACTGTGATGTTCAGGCGAGTAAGTTTTTTTTTTTATTTCATTACCTACATTGCGGCATCTAAGTCCATGTTTAATACATCTGTAAAAATTGTATTTTGTTTATTTCTAGGTAACTGGGTCAAAGTCACGAGCATTTGTTTTTGTTGGGGACAAGCACAGTCCTGACAGAGTGGTCATCAGGCCTACCTGGATTTTAGGTAAGGATTGATTGTGGTACAACTTATATTTATGATTAAAATACAAGCGTCATTAAACAATTAATTAGTACAGTAACAGTGTGAGACTGCTTTAACTGCGATTAAAAAAAATAGATAAAACATTGAGTTCTTGTCTAAAGAAAATTTCCTAATATTTTTTTCCTTGTCTGGTTACATCCCTGATTTATCACTTACAAACTGTGATTTCAATTTGGTGCTTACCATAAATAGGATTTTCTTTGTATGTGTTGCTTGTACTGAAACTGATAAGCAGTAATGTTTTTTAATAAGTACATTCAGAGCAGTACCATTTTATTAATAAATTAACTTCAATGATGCAATAATCACCAGCTTTTTAATGCGACATCCTTGGTATTATTTGTTTTTTGTTTCCTTAATGTTCTGATGAATGTATCCTATTACATACATCTATTGTTAAGCCTTTTAAAACACTTCTCTCTGGTTATCAGATAGCATAATGAAGCTGAAGCTGTTAGACATGACAGACTACATTGTGACACCACCACCATCTTCACTGAGAGAAACAAGTCCAGAGTTCTAAACTATTGAGTGGTACTGGTGGACAATTGTTTACTGAATTATGACTGTGTTACAGGGAAATGCCTTCACAATTTGTTTTAAAGATAATTTAAATGATGAATATGTTATAAAAATGGAACAATCTAGTATGTCTACAGATGTAGCTACATTTATTTTACTATTTTATAATTATCCATTTGTAAAAAAAATGGTTTTATACATTTTTTAATCATTTAGCTGAATGTGAACACATTCTTCCAAGAACAAATAATAATTCTGGTATTATGCTTGTTATACACATCTACTTAAGATTTACATTACACATTATAGTCATGATACACTATCTTTTACGTCCAAAGGTGCTAAGTTGAAGTCTGTAGTGCTGAGACCTACACCATCTCATAAAGATTCTTATGTCTGTGTAGTGCTATGACCTAAACCACCTCATGTGTTCACAATGTTATGTCTATGATGCAATGATCCACACCACCTCAAGATTTATATCGTTGTATCACAATGTTCAGTATACAAAAATATGTTCTATAAACCAGTGTGTTCAATATACAAAAAGATACTGTTCTATAAACCACCGGAAGTTCATACCTTGTCTTTCTAACATCCTAAATATATTTTTGTGATGTCAGTGTCACCTTCCTTATTCTTGAAATGTCATGCTTTAGATTTTACGATTAAATTATTTATTTTGCATTTACTGGTTTGTATGTTTTGGAAAGTGCCTTGGTAAGTTGATATTAAAATACACAGAAGTATTAAAAATACATGAAACAGTAAACGACTACATGTTATGATGTTATAGCTAGAACAAAGAAAAACAAATCTGTTATTTATGGAAATAGTTTACATTTTACTTGTTTCTAAGATTTCATTTGAATATAATGGTTAACCAATGTTCATGATTGCTTGTTATTAATGCTTATATTAGTGACATCTCATCTAGTGTTTTATTTTATATTTTAATGACGCTGTCAATTTTCTAAAAGTTTGAAATAAGCAGAGATTGTTGGTGAAATCTGATTAGTCCTCTCTTTGCCATTCAATTACTTGCTTTGTTTCACCTAGTCAACAACTATTTGAAATATGCAAATTTATTTTCACTGTCTTAGGTAAACTTGAAAGTCTTAAAGTCTTAACTCAAACAATGATTTGACTGTGAATTTGATGATTTTTTAATACCTTTGTATGATCTGAATTTTAATAATTAATTTTTTTTTTTTTTTGTGAAAACATTTTTGTGCTGGATCTGATAAATGACATGTTGAAAGTAAAGATCTGTTTATTTATCAGGTGATATGCTATACTGACACTTTTTGTACACAATCTCATAAGGTTTTGTTGCTATTTGTGCCTGATATGATCAATCTTTTTACTAAATGAACAAAATTTACTTTGTGTGCCTTTTCAAACAGTTGAAATTATAAATAATGTCAGCTCAGTGCTTGTTTTTACTGGATTCTATGTAGCCTTTTTTAAACTTTTGAAGACTGAATCTTTTCACTGTACTTTATTATTATTCATTGTTTTTATAGAGCATTATAACATTGAGTTCTACTGGCAAAATTAAAATTGATTTTTGAAGTGAAAAACCAATTAGAATGAAATTCATTGTTGACATTAAACCACAATAGTGTTCAGTTTTGTGCAGTAAATACTTAAAAGTTTACTTATCACAATTTGTTACATAAGGTTTTGTTTACTTTGATACTTAACCCTTTATTTAACCTAAAATCTGTTACTTAAATTTCAATCTTATTTTAATATAATTTGACATATATGATGTCAGATATGTTAATGTGTTGATCATAGTGAGCATTTTTTTTTTTTTACTTTTTTATCAAATTGTACACACTTTTTTTATACATCTCTCAAACTTAACTAATGATTTTCAACCACTCTAATTGATCCTCTACCTGCAAAATTAAACAACAGACACAAAATTGTATGCTCAGCAAAAAGCTTGCCCTATAAGTCAGCATGGGCCTTGTACATTTTCATGTTGTTTTTACTGTGCCTTATCAAATATTATGCACTTTTTCCAGTACATTAGCTGGGGTCTTTTATTATAATTATTATATTTTAAATATACACGTATAATTTAAACTGGCAATAGTTATAACATTTTAATATATGTAAAACCAAGTCTATGATGTCAGTTAAGTAAAGCAGTTTAGTTTTATGTTAAAAATTTAATGTTATGTTTAGGAATGTGTTTTGAACATGTCTTAAATTAATTGTTAATGAAATTTTTTAAGCCACTGTTCTTTAAACAATCAAAATATGTCATAATATCCACATTGTACATAAGCTACCTAATATTAGGTAAAGCATTTAGAGTTTTGGTGAAGTTGTGTTTTTAACAACATGGACAAAGGGAAGTGGTGGGTTATGTAAATTCTGTATTGCATATTTTTGATCAATCAAAAAAAGTCTTAATAAATAAAAAAGACAAGTTTTATTTTTGTTTGTTTTATTTTATTAAATCATAGGTGAACAGGTGTTAAAAAATAAATTCAGGAAAACTTTTCAACAGGAGTAGATATTTTAAAAAAAACTTAAGCAATATTGAAATAAAGGTTTTAAATTGATGAAACAAGCTGACATAATTTTAGTTTACCTGCTATAAGTTAAAACAAAGTCAACGTTTTTGTTGAATTTTTAAATATCAGAAAGTGCTGAACTTTACATTAATTAACAGGAAAAGATTATCAAATTTGTTTGAGTTAAGAAAAAATATTAATTTAAATTTACTTTCAAATGACTGCGAAATAGAATAGATGACAGGTTCGGGGGAGGTAGGGGGTGAAATAATGAGCATTTGACTGGGAGTGAAGGTAGAAAATTAAACATTGAACAATATTAATCAAGTTACAACAACTAATGTAAGTGTAAAGATGCTAGATCTCACTGAGAACGGTGGAAAGGAATGATATGACGATTATAACGAGGATCGCACACAATATTATAGTTAATAAAATAGCATGCCTTTATTTGCCATTTGCAGACAACTTCAGTGGAGTTAAAAACATGTGACGCCGCACTTTTGCATTTTTAAAACATGATGTTAGTAGTTACTTTAAATTTTATGCATAGGTTTTTATTGTTAAACTTGATTAACGAATCTAATGTTTTAACCCGAATTAGTTAACAATTTTCAATTATTTCTCAGCAGTTATTATGCAAAGAGCTAGCAAACACTACAGAGAGGTAACTATGCAAAGGTTAACAACTCAATTAATATTTCGGCAAAATTAATTTTGCTCGATTATATCCCTTTAACAAATAAACCAAAACAACACAAATGATTGAACCGGAAGTAAAATTGTAGGCCCAACAAATCGAGGTTGCTGAACTCTAAAAAAATGTTTTGAGTAGTCGGACTTGACCCCGAATTTTAGATTCCAGTTCTAGTGAAGTCACAATAAAAGTTTTACTGTGAGTGAGCATAGAGAAATTATGATAAGGCCCTAGATCTATGAGTCTATGAGGATAATTTTTTAGAAAATTTAGAATCGACCCTACCACATTTATTCATTTATTAAATTATTTTTAGCCTAATAATTTAAATCCCTGGCTTAACCAGTCGCCGGCGGGCTAGTTCTAATCTATTAGCTAGCAGAGGCGTAGCGACCCTTCCCGGCGCCCGGGGACAAACTTTTCGATTTGCACCCCCCTCAAGATTTTGCTTTACACCCCCCCCCCCCTTTCAAACTTTCGATTTGCAGCCCCCCCCCTCAAGATTTTGATTTGCACCCCCCTCGACCTTTCAATTTATTTTTCCAACCCATTTTGGCGCCCCCTAAGGTCGGCGCCCGGGGACATATGTCCCCCCCCTCGCTACGCTACTGCTAGCTAGATATAGATCTAGTAGCTAGAGATGATCTAGATTTCTAGATCTACTTCAAACTTCATCAAAATGATCATTGTTCATAGTTGGCCCAACTATTAGTTGGGTGTCGGCTTGTTTGAGTTGGTAAAGCTCATCGTTGCTAAACCGAAAAGTCGAGTTCGAACCCTCTGGCAGATGAGGCTCAATAGCTGGGGACAGCAACTCCTGAGAGACAACTTCAAAATTAAACAACTGCTGCCTTGTAGTTTGTTCTTGGTTGGACAAAGGCTATGGAAGCAAATCCAAAAAGAAAAGCAGGCTGAAATGGGAGAACGGCCTATATTATATGGTGCATAACATGTTGGCACGTACCGTATCCATATATTGTGTTGGAGGGAATCTCTTTCAACACTAAAAATTAAGAACGCAGAAGATAACCATAGTTCATAGTTGTATTTATTTTAAAATTTGAACAAAACATAAACTCAAAACAATAATAATTTATGAAATTTTAGGATGATATTTAGAATTGACCATCTGAATCCCGGACAGATTGTGCCTCTCTCCCTCCCTCCCCCCCCCCCCCCCCCCGGTGTGGCCTCAACCAAACAGCGGGGTTGTTTCTTTAAGTCAAATATAAACTCAAAACAATGATATTTGAATAAATACAGAATTTGGGTTATTGCCAAATAGCAAATGCAGAGATATGCACAAAGTTTTTTTTACTGTCACAGGTTCAACTCCCAACCCTCAGCCTGGGATCAATTAGTTTTTCAAATTACACCCAGCAATTTTATCTTCTCCAACTGTCACACTTTGACACCTACGCTGAGCAAGCTGATTGCACAATAGCTGTGTAGGCCCTTATGTATATTGTTTCATATCCACCTGCCCTTTCAATCTAAAGGCTGTAAACAAAGCGTAACATAAACCAGGAAACAAGCCTATTTCCAATAAGTGGTTTTATTACATGAAAAAAAAAGTTCAGCTCATCAAAATAACCCTTCACCATACATAATAAAAAATAGGAAGAAAATGCACATACAGTTGAGTAAGTATAACCACATAATTCCCTAATATCTTGACTAACAATGAATAACCAGATTCCACATTTCCCTGTCTCAATACATTGGCCTCTAGTCCATCTATAACACATGCATCCTCTGCTCAGTATCAACCTGACTACTGTTTGGGGCGGTGACCTAACTTGATCCTGTCATTAGGTATCTCATTACAAGGTTTTTCAAATTTAAGTAAAAGGTCACTGTTCAGATCAGGGCTCTCTCCCATTCACCCCTATCTGGTCACCCCAGGTCAAATACCAGGCAACTATAATAAGACAGTTGACACATGCACACACATAAAGTTAGTCCATGAAATCAGGAATTGGGTGCATAATAGAAAACTGTAAAGTTCTTGTCATTCAATTTTAATCATTTAATGCCTGTACAAGTATTGACTATTGAGCAGATAACTTATTTATTTCACCATACAACATGGTAGTCAATAGCAGAGTTTCTTCCAGGCATCTCTTCGGGGGGCCCCCCGAAAATTTTTTACCGCCCCCCCCCCCCCCGAACGAAATGAAATTTATATATTTATATAGAAAATATATACTTTTAACAGTGTCTGCCCCCCCCCCCCCCCCCCAAAGAAAGTCTACCGCCCCCCCCAAAAATTTCAAGTGCCCCCCCGGAGAAAAAAGTCTGGAAGAAACACTGGTCAATAGCTTACTCTCCCTCTGTATTTAGTGTAGAGTGTAGGGGTAATTTCTGTTAGAATTAGCATCAGATTTTATTGTGAATGTAACTTCACTGGAAAATTTCATTTTGTTAAAGGTTCTGAAGACCATGTCAATGTTATTAAAGTTACCTTCACAAAAGATTCTTTTTTTTGAACAGATTTTAATGTGACACTTTTGGAAAGTTTCATTTTGTTAAAGGTTCTGAAGACCATGTCAACATTATTGAAGTTACCTTCACAAAAGATGCTAGCCAAGTACCTCAAGCACTGTAGTGAACAGCGTGAAGACAAATCTAGCTTACTCTCAATAGCTTACTCTCCCTCTGTATTTAGTGTAGAGTGTAGGGGTAATTTCTGTTAGAATTAGCATCAGATTTTATTGTGAATGTAACTTCACTGGAAAATTTCATTTTGTTAAAGGTTCTGAAGACCATGTCAATGTTATTAAAGTTACCTTCACAAAAGATTCTATTTTTTGAACAGATTTTATTGTGACACTTAACTGGAAAGTTTCATTTTGTTAAAGGTTCTGAAGACCATGTCAACATTATTGAAGTTACCTTCACAAAAGATGCTAGCCAAGTACCTCAAGCACTGTAGTGAACAGCGTGAAGACAAATCTAGCGCCACCTGGCAATGCCAGCTCCCAAACCTAAGTTTTCCTGTGTCTGCTTCCATCTGGATCCAGGGGGTAGTTGTTGATGTAAGTAGTTTCAAACTTGCTTTATGGCTAGTGGAGATTGATATTGATTAGAGCATTGCTAAGAGAAATAAAATATCTGAGCTGTTGCAGTCAATTGACAACTTAAGCAGCCCATTAGTTGTTTAGCTTTTACAATCTATTTTAGTACACAAGCAGTTTTAAGTACTAATTTAAGCACAATCTTATATTTTATGCTGCATATCACAACATATTGTTTCATGCTGCTTATTACAATATTATTTTATGCTGCCTATTGCACATAATAAAGATTAAAAAGCTTACCTAAGTAAGTATTTTTTAATGTGCTGAGATAACCATGTGCTGTTAAAATTATTGGTACCAAAACAAATATACTAAGTTTTTGATCTTTCTACTTCTGTAATTTATCTTTTGTAAGATTATAACTAAGGTTGTATTTCACTATATATCTCTGTTGTAAGATTATAACTAAGGTTATATTTCACTATATATCAGATAAAGAACTCTGGTAGTACAGTGGTTGTGGATGATGGAACTGGAACTGTAACGCTGGTACAGTGTGATAGTGCAGCTTCTAAAGTAATGACTAAAAAAGGTACAGACCTACAGTTTTGTTTGTAGTACATATGAACTTCACTTTTTCTGCCCAATGGATCCCCTAGGTCTAAAGAGGAATCTTTACTTCTGGTCAAATTAAACCATCAAAGTTTTGGTTGACTGTGATACTCAGTGATATCCAGAAATACAAATATCAAACTATCACTGTAATTTTGTCTCAACAGACTTTTCAGTATTCTTTATTGATTTTTTAAGAGCATTAAACCTGCTTTGCTCAAAAATTGGTATTTATACTTAGTAGTTTTTTTAACTACTCAGTCAACATTATATTGCTTTACTTGTTTCAGTTATTTCTCTTTGATTATGAATACCTTGATTCAAATGTGTTCAGATGAAGTAAGTTCTGTACTAGATTCTATACCTTACAAAGTGCCTGTTTGTTTCAGGGATGTACATCATGGCTGTGTGAAATAAGTTCTGTCCTACATTCTCTACCTTACAAAGTGGCTGTTTGTTTCAGGGATGTATATCATGGCTGTGGGGTCACTAGAGACTGGTGGTGAGCAGCCAACTGTCAAACCTATCAAACTTCAGGACTTGAGTGAGTTGGATGATGTTGATGCCTTGTGGCCTTTAGAGGTTCTGCACCAGATCAACTTTCTCAATGGATAAAGTTTACTGGCCAGCATAGCTGGGACATGAAGTAAGTCAACCCTTTGTTTGGTCTTTTGTTGTTTTAGCTACTGAAATAAGTCTTATAATGTCTTCAAAATGGGATACGGTAGGGGATTCAATAAGAACAATGAGGAGATTAATTTTGAAAGATAACTTCATTGAGGTAAAATTGAAGAGACAGAAGTGAAGAGTTGGAGACATTTGTTAGCTCTATAAAATAATAAGGCATGAAAGTCACTAATCATAGGTTAGAATTAGTTTTTGTAGCAATGGCTAATAATAATTGTTTGGTTGGGTTAGGGGATGTCCAGCCATAGTGTTACCCTTCCCTTTTTTGTTAATAGTGACTAAAGTGTTTCTAACATGGTTTATATGGGACGGCGAGGCTTAGTGGTAGAGCACTAGAATGCTAGCTTGAAAGTCTTTGGGTTCAAATCAGTAGAACGTTCATGAGTCCACCCAGCTCTGATAGGTATCTAACTCCTGTTCGGGAAACAAAGGCGGCTGGGCATAATGCTGAACACATAATCCCTTTGCTTGCAGAGATTATTAAAACAGGTGAACTCTACTTTATCTGCCCCATGTGTCTTGGGCATAAACGGAATAAGATGATGAACAAGATTTATGAAAGAGACAGGCTGTATCAAGAAAAAATATATATCATCTCTACTGCTCTTGTTTAATTATTTTAGGAAAATTTACAGAATGATGTTAATTTTTTAAAAAGAAAAATATGATAAAGGAAAGTTTTAATTATCTTTAATTGAGGAAACAATTAAGAAAGAATTCATTTGCACTGATTCAACTGCTGGTTGTATGTAGTCCCAGCAGGACAGTAGTAGACCTGACCACTGGGGCAGGTGTAGTAGACGTCTGGTCTCTCCGCCGTCAGGTAGAACCCTTGCAGCTTCCCCTCGCAGGATGGCGCCAGGCCATACCCTGTGGTTCTGGGCACCTCAAAGATGGACACGCATGACTTGGTCAGCGGGGAGAAGAAACCTGTGCCGGCTGTTGGGCTGTGCTTTGGGCAGCTGCCAGTGCCGACCAGCCTCTCGTCTTCACACCTGATGAAGTAGGGCGTCCATAAACGATCAGGATTCACCTGAGATGTTTTGATTGGTGGCATTAGACCAGAAGGCTACAGATAATTAACCACTACATATCAACATGGGCATATCACAATCTCCTTAGTTCAATGTCAGGCTTTGAGAGAACTATAAAAAAACACATTTATTTTTAACTAACTGAACTAATGTCACAAAATAAAAACGTATTTTGTAATTGTTGAGGATTTAGGCGGTTGTGCTATAAAATATTTTTTTGACATTTGAACAACTAACACAAAAACCACCAAATAAAAGGCAGATTTTGAAATGACCATGTGTTATACATGTTTAGGTCTGTCTTCTACATAAAGATTCTGATTGTACGAGTCTACAATAGAACACTACAGCTTATGTATACACAACCTTCCACTCCAAGGGACCTCACTCTGCTGACAAACTGGTGATAAATAAAAAGAAGTTTGGCTTACGTTAAGGCCATCTGGCAAGCCAACACAAGATGGCATCCTAGAGCTGCAGGGTTGGCAGTGGGCGCTGAGACATCTGTTGACGACGTAGTCACCTGGTTCATGGTTCAAAGAAAACAATTTTACTTTGTGTGTGATGTTATGTATAGGTAAAATAAATTACAACCTATTTGGACTCTGTTTTTATGGAAAGGAAAAAAATTATTTAGGGAAAAATAAATTAATTTTTAAAATCTATGTAATTTTTATTTATTTGAGCACTTCCTTGCAGAAAAATAAGTAGACTTAGAGGCATTTTATCAGTATTGTTAGCTCTATAAAATAATAATTAAATAATTTTATGTTGAATGATTTATGAAAAAGTGATTTTGGTAAAAATTATGAAAAACAATGTTTTGGTTTCTACTATAAGAAACAAACTTTTCTTTTTAATAAACAATGATTAAGTTTCTTTTCCTTTAATTGTCTTATTAAATACCTTTGTTAAAATTAATTGTTCATTCCACAATAAAAGCATAATTTACTGATTTAAGTTGTCATGGTTTTGTATGTATATTCATGTATAATTTCTGCTCTTGTAAATAAATGAACAAGAAATGGAAAAGACTGTAAAACTGATTATTTTACTGTACCCAAAAATTGAACTATTTTAACCAATTTTATTGTTGCAATATGTTACTAGACCAAACTTACTGTACCCAAAAATTGAACTATTTTAACCAATTTTATTGTTGCAATATGTTACTAGACCAAACTTACATGGATCTTTGGCAGCGATTCTGTTAGGCCCACACTCCGCCACCTTGTAGTCCTTACATGCCAGTTCTCTGATGTCAAAGAGCTTGGGGTAGGCACATTCCACCTCATACGGTCCCAGGTAACTCCTCCATCCCCGTGGGGTGGTGTCTGAACAGTTGTAGTACCTCTGGCAGGCCTGGGGGTGACCTACCAACTGGGCGCCATTAGCGCACACCTCAAGGCCATAGTTTTCTGGCGGAAGTTTTTGTCATATGGATTAAATAATAAAACATGTTTAAAACTAGACAACATGGGATATTAACTTTTTGTGAGTGAATGTGTTGAGTAATAGGAGGTCGAGTTGGTTAAGCTCATGGTTGCTTAGCTGTAAAGTCTTGAGTTTGAAGCTGCGGGCAGATGAGGCTCGATATATCAGGAGCGACAACTCCAAAATCAAATAACTTGGTCTATGGAAGCAAATCCTAAAAGAAAAGTAGACTGAAATCTGAGCGTCACGTAATACTTGATTCCAACACTAGAATTAAGAACTAATGGTGTAGCTACCCAGGCACGTAGAGCCGTTTCCAATTTCTCCAGAATAAATATGTTACAAAAAAAGCAGCTGAATTTCGTTTGAAAAAAATGGGAAGGGGATGGTTGAAATTGAAAAGCCCTTATAGGTGGCTGGATACTTAAGACAATGGAGGGGGGCGCAACTAAAAATCGGGCTATTTATAGTTACATTTAAAACATCTATGTTGAAGGGTATGCTATATTTTCTAAATTGTACCTCTTTCAGCACTTAAAAAAACTATTTATTTATAGGCTACATTTTCCCTGTCTCAACGAGTTAATGTGTGGGGCTGAGGATCACGCAGCGTTTATTGTCCACTAAAATAACCAGTCCGGCACTACAATGAAACCTATAGAAAAGTGTAAAAAGTCCGTTCAAAAAACATATTGCCACGAGAATTTGAAGTCAGACTTGTAGGCCCTATATTTCGCAAGAAACGAAAAGGAAAAATCATAACGTTGATGATGAAAATACGTGGGACCAAAGGGAGTCGATGGCAGCGGCGCTGATAGCCCTAAGAGCTGTAGTTGACGGCTCGTACCCCAGCAGAACGCTGAACATAATTTACAGTACCTGTCTCAAATAACGGTGTGTATCGGCGAATGTCTGGTTATAGGCCCAATCGTTGGAAGTCGAATGGACTTGTTTTAATGTTACTGTCAGTTCTTTATAAAGGGTGAGAAAGGGAACTTTACTTGTATAACGCCATACACACTTTTGTATGTTTTACTATTTATCTAGACCCATCTTGCAATCTATGTTCATGCACCGTTTTGATTATTACTGGTCTTCAGTTTTTTTCTGGCTTATCTTTTTTACACATTTTCGCGGCTGACTGAAGCCGTTTTGGAAGTAATAAAAATAAAAGATGGCGCTGGATGGAATAACAAAGAAGATGGCGCTGGATGGAGTAAAAAGAAGATGGCGATAGATGGAATAAAAAAGAAGATGGCAATGGATAGACTGAAGAAGATGGCGCTGGATGGGCCATGCATCAAGGATGAGACCAGAATATATCACATGAATGGTCCTGAACTGGGCGCCTCAAGGAAAAAGAAAACAGACAATGCCAAGGGAGACGTGAAGGCGTACAGAGGACAAAGGCACGACTATGTTGGGGAGCTGCAAAGAAAGTTGGCAGAGATAGGAAAAAATGGAAAGAGCTTTCTATGGCAGCCTCGTGAACCCTGGACACTGAAGGGAAAAGATGGCGGTGATGATGATTTGCAAGCTCGCATGGGTAATATTTAAAGAACCTACTGTGAAGCCAAGTAGGGAAGTGTTATGCAAATTTTGATCTAATTCTTCAATAACCATAGAGCTCCGGGATCTTGTCCAGATAAGCCCCGCCAAAATAGTAAACCCCCGCCACCCGAAAAACAGATTATTACTTTTAGATTTTGTCGAAATTTGGACATGTCAGGAATAAGTTGCATGAAAAGATCTGTAACCCCAATCCTAACCCCAACCCTTACCCCAGAGTAAGATAAGAAGTTGTTTTTCACGGTGTGCGTTTAAATATTCAAATGTCCAGATATTAGAAAAAGGTCGGGGATTAACTTTTCACCAATGATCTTCCTGCATAAGTAGCGGGGCTTATCTGGACAAGATCCGTCTTTTTTCTACCCGTTCTGTCGCCCAATAAAATCATCTCCCCCAGCGGCCTCACGCCACTATCTTCCAACCACACCGCTTATCCCAGGCCTTTAACATCAACTTTTTACTTTCTCGTATATACGAAGTATAGAGAAAGTATTGTAATCGTGCACAAAAATCACTTGAAATTTTAACAATTTTCACCGTATTACACCTCAGTCCTTCATCACTTCCGAAGTATAGAGGACTTATTTTAATCGGGCAAAAATTATCAATCCAGATTTATCAAAATTAAGAGGTTTTATTCGTAATCCAGTCTGAAAAACTGGGCTTTGCAATTCTGTCCGTATGTCTGTGTGTGTGTCTGTCTGTCCGTGTGTAAACACGATAACTTGAGTACCGTTACAGCTAGGTTGATGAAATTTCATATGTAAGTATTTTATCAAAATCGTAGATCCGTATTAACTTTGAGCGATTTCCGATAACCGGAAATGGTACTTTATTTACTTTGAATTTTTCAAAATCCTATAACTTGAGTACTATTTCAGATAGATAAATGAAATTTCACATGTAAGTAAAAGATCTAATTCTCTACCTTCTGTTAAATTTTGAGTAATTTTCGTAGACCGGAAGTAGTAATTTACGCTACTTCCCATTTTTCAAAAAACTAATGTAAATTTTTAAAGTACTAATAATATTGCGCACTATTATGCACTTTTTTATTTGGCGTTCACTGGGTGTGCAATTCTTTTGTCTACGTGATTTTATTCTATTTTTAAAATTTTAAGTATTTAAAATGGATTAAAAATCATGTCTATAGCCCGAGTTCTCATCCCCTGTTGTTTTATATAAGAATATTCGAGAAAGTTTAGGGGAGATCACTCCCGGTTTATTTATTTTTAATGTCATCGAATGAGTTAAACTCTTGAAGGTCTCTTTAAATATTTTTTTTAATCGAGCGCAGTGTTTTATTATAATTCAAACTTGAATGGGTGATTTTTAAAAAAGAAAAACCATTTTGAAATAACGCCATGTATTCGTTGTCTTTATGTAACCGTGAAAAGTAAAAAAAAATATTTGAATAAATTCTTTCAAAAGCCACAAACAAAAAGTTACCGAAAAATGATAGACCCTAGCTAATCAAAGTATTATAGACAAAAAAAATGGCTAGGGTGATGCTGTATGTTAACTCATAGGCAGAGTTTCTTCCAGACTTTTTTCTCCAGGGCTGGTAAAAGTAAATGTTTTGTATATAAATTCCATTTCGTTGGGGGGGGGGGGGGGGGGGGGGCGCTAGGCTATGCTGAAATATGGCCTTAATGTAAAAATATTGTTTAAAGTGCTCTGCATTTGCTAAGTTTTTTATATTCTTTCTCAAAAAAATAAATTTTGATAAAGTGTATAGCTTTACTTTTAATATATTTAGAAAAATGTAGAGCTACTAAAACGATGAAATGAACAACAAATAAAAAAAAATGTGTCCGTGTCAACGATAATGTACAGTGTTTCTTCCAAGAATCTCTCTTGACGAAATAGAAATGAAAATATTAAGTTGAAATTAAAAAAAATATAGGCCTACTTGAACCTTTATTGTGATTACTCCCCCCCCCCCGTCCCTCAAAAGGTTCAACCCCCCCCCCCCCCCCTTTCTCCTGATAACGACCAGGTCATTGATACGACTATCTCGGCTCATGTTGAAGATAAACTAAAGATAATTCTCTAAATATTCAACTTACTTGGTACTGAAGTGCTATCCTGTGACGTCACCACACTGGCCAACGACAAACAAATCAACACGAGAAACATTTTTCTTTTTGGCTATCACAAAATTTAAAATAAAAAGCTTATCCGAAATTGTAGATCTGTCTTGCATAAAGTTTGGACTAAAGCTGTAACGTAGCAGACCAAAGACAACAGTCTCAACAGTTTAAAATCGCTGTTGCTTCTGGTAGACCTAATGAACTCCGTCTGTTGACAATACGACGCGCACGGCAAATATTGGTACAGTCCGCACGCACTTTGTGACGTAGTACACCTACCGCTGTCATGCCACAAGGGGAGGTAAAAGTAAAGCTGTTGTTTTTAATCTAAAAAAAAAAAAAAAGAAACAAAACTAACATGGGAGGAAATCTAAAGTTTTAATATCCCTTTAATAAATGGGAGATAATGTTCTTGTTTTTATTCCCCTGTAATATCAGCCAATGGAGAGCTGACGATTAATTACAAATGTTGCGCTGAGTAATGAAGAGGAGGGGGAGGGGAATGGTAATTCCGGTTCACCGCAATAAAATGTTAATGAGCTTACATAAATTATGTCGGTAAAAAAATGGCGTGCGTGTTTACATACTAGGAGCGGATACGTTTGATCAGAGCGTGTACGCTTTGATTTTGTAATTTAAAATCAAAATTAAAGTACACGCAGTGTAAAGGCAGTGTTTCTTCCAGGCATCTTTTCGGGGGTGGGGTGGGTGGGGTGGAGCCCGAGCCCCCCTCGGAGAAAGTCTACCCCCTTCCCCCAGAACGAAATGGAATTTATATAGAAAATATATTCTTTTAATCGTGTCCTTCCCCCCCCCCCCCCGGAAATTTTAAGCCCCCTCGAAAATTTCATGTGCCCCCCCCCCCCCCGGAGAAAAAAGTCTAGAAGAAACATTGAAAGAGGATAGGCTAATTCACCTAGTATAGGCCCCCGTTACTAACCACAGTAATTTACAATACAAAACACAGTTTCTGTGCGTTGGATTTACATAACAATGAAATGGCTGAGAGATCTCATGACTCCGGGAGGTCGTGTTGCTGCAGGTCTACTGCCTCGTCAATCTTGACTTTTGCCCGCCCCACTCCTAGACATCACAATGGGAAATTTACGACTTGAAGTTTTTAAATTGTATTTTTAATTTGTTTTCAAGCTTCACATATTCGGCTGGTGTCAATTTTTTTCAATATGCAAAACTCTCTCTACCACCCTCCCCCCTCTCCCCACCCTCCGCCACTGTCGGAATAAAATCTACAAGGGCTTTGGTTGGTTAACCTGCGCGGCTGTTGCACTGCGCAGAACGTGATCCAACATGACTGGCGTCTATTAAACCAACACAATCATACAAGCTTGCAGATCAAAATCTCAAAACATTGTTTGACAGTGTTTCTTCTAGAGTTTCTTCCAGGCATCTCTTCGGTGAGAGGGGGTGGGGGTGGATTACAATTTCCGGAGAGGGGGAGGCACGGAAATTGGTAAAAGTATGTATTTGCTAAATAAAATAAATTCTACTTCATTTGAGGGGGGGGGGAGGGTTGTAGACCTACTTAGGGCCCCCCTACCCCCCCCCCCCCCCATAAATGATGCCTAAAAGAAGCTGCGTTAACACAAAATGATCAGCCAACAATAACAAACCACGTCGCAAATCGATCATTAAGCAAACGGCCACAGGCGAGTTTACCTCAGAACTACCTTGACGTCACAGAAAAAAGTTCAAGGTCATGTCAATATTAAGCACACAACCTTACGATAGGTTTGTGACTACTTCTTTTAAAACCTCGTTCTCATATTTCTTATATTATTATATTTTAGCCTGCTGTTTTTAGCATTCGATGTTTCTTCTTCATAAGTCTAAGTCAAGTGATTAAATCTTACTGCCCTCCTTTTTGTTTTATTTGACATTGTTGGATCAATTAAATATAATGTTCGTTATTTATACGGAGAATCTGTTTTACTTATAATTAATTTTTAATAGAAGATTACCGTTCTTGAAAACTGTTATACATTTTTTTTCTAATACAAATAATTAATTTACTTCTTTTAGTTTTGTCTGTAATGACTTACTCTAAACCAGGGTTTCTTTCGGACATCTTTCCCTGATGTGGGGAGGGGGGGGGTGTGGGGGAGACTAGAAACGTCCGAAAGAAGGGGGTGGGGTGTATTTTTATTTTCTATATAGATAATAATGGGACGGCGTGGTATAAGCGGTAGTTATGCTGCTAACCCGAAAGTCTGGAACTTTCCTGAGTCCACCCAGCTCTGACCACACACTCCCTTCATATTCCGAGGTGTAGAAACATAGGAACTGCGTGTACTTTAATTTTGATTTTAAATTACAAAATCAAAGAGTACACGCTCTGGTTTAACGTATTCGCTCCTAGTATGTAAACACGCACGCCATTTTTTTTAGCTGAACACATATCATAGAACACAAATCTTTAACACTTGTTTAACCGAAGATATTAATACTGTTCAGTCTATGGACAAGTTTATAGCTAAAGTGTGAGTTGACTTAAGGTGTTCTTCAGTCTATTTAGCTCGGATAAAGATTCGTTGTTGCAGGGTGTCTTTCCTGTCAGTTTTCTGCAGTCCAGTTCTTCTATACGAAGGCCGTCCAATGAGCGAACCTTACTCAGTGCCACATAAGCTTGCCCTGCTTCAAACAGCTTCGGCCCCAAATACACGACAGCGTGATCTACTGTACATCCTTGCATTTTGTGTACAGTTGATGCCCATGACAGTATTAAGGGTAACATTCTTCTCTCAGCAGTTCCGTAGTTGTACTTGGCAGAAAATTGCACTGATTTTGGCTTAACTTCATGTACACCATCTTTGCCGAAATCAATTCTTACTGAAGGTATGTCTGTGTCATAAATTTGGGTACGGCGAAAATGTGGCCATATAATATCTGTAATATACCCAATAGCGCCATTTACTAATCCCTTCGACACGTCAATGTTCGATCGAAGCATGACCTTTGCCCCAACAAAAATCTCAATTGTTCTTGGTAGGCCACCCGTTTTATTTATGTCTGTGGGAAATAGTGTATGTATGTCAACATTATCTGTGTTTCTTGTGGCATCAATCAACTGGTCCTGGGCTTTTATCCTAATTATATCGGTGTTAATAGATCTAAAATACTGCAGCACAATTTCATTATGCGTATTGACTTGCTCATTTGATGGGTATATGCGCAAAGCTTAATCAATGCCGAAGTCTCCTGTTGGTTTGTTTTCTATAAGCTTATCAGTCAGGGTTGCAAAATGTTCAGCGTTCATCTCACCAACCCTCAACGCATTCAACATGTTTCTAAAGGTATCATCTCCTTGCTGCCTCATGTTTTGCGATAGTTCACAGAGGGAAAATAGTCGCCATAAATGGGTGGGATTGTTGAAGATAGTCGGGCTGTTTGTAAACAGGTGTATTAACACCCTTTCTGATTGGTGGCAGCTGCATTAGGTCACCAAACAGCAGTACATTAATGCCTCCGAAAAACTCATCGTAATTATTCTTCAGCTGACGGATGCGCATGTCGATCATACAAAGCATCTGATAGGGTACCACCAATATCTCATCTATTATGATACACTCGACATTTTTCCACTGTGTTCGCATGACTCTGAGGTAATTTTCTGTCAAAGGACACATGTTGGCGCTCCGACCGTCTCTTTGAACCGGGAGTTTCAGTGTGCTATGGAGAGTTGAGCCACCAATTAATCGGGCTGCGACCCCAGTTAGAGCCGAGACGATGACGGCATTTTTTGCAAAGCATCGATTGATCTGAACTCTGAGCAGGCTCAGGATAAATTTTTGCCAACACCAGCTCCACCAGTAATAAAGAGTTTCAGCCTTTCACTGCCTCCATCTAGTTGTTTAAGGACACTTTCGGTTACCTTTCGAAACAAATGTCGCTGGTCTACGTTCATTGCTTTTTGTGCCGAACTAAACTTTTCCTCATCAACTGGTATATCGTGGGCCTCTTCTACATAGTCATCTTCCAGATGAGCTGGTGTTGCTTCTTCAAGAATTTGAAGCGCGTGATGTGACCTACTTAGGTCTTGTTTTTTTTGTTTGACTTTTATTGCTCAACCATGAGTGACCTGTGGTGCAACCACCGGTACTTTTCCATAGTTCTAAGAAAGACATATACCCAGTAATTTTCCATCACCAGTGGTGGTGCAATACCTTTATTGCATTCTCCAATTGCTTGTCACGTTCGCGATACAACTCCATATGTACATTTGTTATTTTTAGATTTTCTTCGTTAGCCAAAAATGCTTCTCTCGCAGTGGCGAAATCACTGAGTAGCTCTTCTTCTCTGCGGTAGGGAGTGTACTGGAGTAGAAGGCTATAAAAGTAATTTTCACCATCTGTCGAGGCTACAAAGTAAGGTACTCTTACAACAGCTGGCAATTTTTTTATGGTCATTTTGCTACCGTCTATAAGAGTAATTAACCTCCTTTTAGTGCGTTGTTCGTTTTCATATGCATCCTCGTCAATATTTAATGTCATAACATCTTGTTGCTTTGCATAGTAGGGCTCAAATAGCATTGCGAACTCAATCAAGCACATTTGGTTGAAATTGTAGTCTGCGTGTTCCAGGGGTCTTTTTTCATAACGATCAAAAATATTGGCACAATAGCCAGTTGATTGGCCATTCTCGTGAAATTTAAGTACTCTGTACCTTTGTTGTGGCTGTCGAGTATTCAAGAAAATACATTTGCGTGAGCTGTCTCTGACATTGAGGTGACATAATCTGTACACACATTCACAGGCAGAAACTTGTCGTTCGTTCATTATTGTCATGCAAATCTTGAACAGTTTTCGAGACACATCCGAATCTTCCCCCTGGATTTCTTGAATTGCTTGTTTGATGGTAAGGGCTAGTTACGTAGGCTCTAATTTGGACGAGTTTTATCCAAGGGGTACAATAAATAACTCATCACACAGTCCCAGGGGTGGGGTGGATTAAGATAACCAAGGAGACTTCACACACACACGAAGAGATGCCTGGAAGAAACTCTGGTCTACTGTATCGAAATAGTCAAGAAATCAACAGCGTGGGACAATTTTGTGTGTCTTGTCCAGCCTACTAGAAGAAGTGAATATTTTGAGTACATAAAACATACTGGATAACCTTTCAAATGTGTAAACTATCACTACCTTTGATTGTCTTCGATAGTTGGACTTGTATTATGGGTGGTTGGGTTCATTCTATGGGTGGTTGGGTTTAATTAATGAAGTCATGTTTTGATGACATCGACAAATGTGGCTGCGATTGAGGCGTCACGCTCTAAATAAAAGTAGCTGT